ACTTGATTCTCTTGCATCATATCTTTCTTCTAGGCCCTTTTAAGAGATCATCGGACCATCGGCCGGGGCTGATGCACACGATGTGTATACCAGTGGGGCGGTAGATCAAGGCTTTTCCTTGGAATTACGATGTTCGAAACCCTCGAGTTTTGTGGTTTTGGGAACTCCGACCATTGGAACGGGCCGTAGTCGCAAAGCGCTCCGTTGTCATACAAGGGTAGGCGTCGACATTAATCAATTCGATTCGCGTGCTTTATGATTCATGTCGCATCTTGGTGGTCACCCTATCTTAACAATTCTATTATAGAATTCTTTCTATTTAATCGCTTTTAGCGGTGGTAAAATGTTATGGATATACCCAATTCTTGAGTGATGTGCAAAAGTTTTGCGTCTGGCTGGACTCGAACCCGCATTTCACCTTATCCCAAAGGGCGTGTACTTTAACCCGATGCACAACCGGCACCTGTTTTGCCAACACTTTTTCTACGCTACAATGCATCATATTCTATCACATATTCTTTCTTCTTCAGTGTTCGGTCGACACCATGAAGGACCCCTAGTTTTTCTCCCTTGAGTAATGTGAGGGGGACAATTGGCGTTGTCCATTGTGCAGTTCAATCCTGGTATTGTCCCGTCTAGGAGCATAGATTTTCAAGCCTATCCCCTACGCTGGGAAGAGGACTTCATTAAGAGCGTTTGTAATCATTCGAAAGCGCAAATATCAAGCTAGCGCTGCACGTGGCCGGTTTTTGAAAAGACCCCTTTATAGCGTTGAGAAATTAGGAAGAAAATTATTTCACGCCCCATTTTCTCGCAGTTGAGAGCTTTTTCTTCTTATCATATGTAATCACTCGATAGCGCAAAATTCACCAAATTCTAAGCTTTGCTTATATACTGAAAAAACCGTTTCTCTGGAACGCAGCCAAGAAAAAAGTAGGATTGATTCACTTGGGCGAACAAGTGTTCTTTGGCAAATTCACGGACGGTTAGGTGGGGGGTCGTGTCGGCGCGAACGTCGATCGATGCCGCCTGAGTTATAAGTATTTGATTAGGAAATGTTTCTTCGCTCTGGAAGAAACTCCTCATTGAACGTTTGACTCTGATACTAGAAGGTTTTCTTTACACTTTCATGTGCTTTCCGCTCTCAGCGATGCGAAGTAATAGTTGAATTGCTCGGCCGATGTGTAACATAATCTTATTTTGTGTTTTTCATCCTTATAAAAGAGTCTTTTCAAATCACCGGCCACCCACGGGCTATTTTGAGACTTGAGCTTTCTGATGTTTACTAGCACTCGTTATTAAAACTTCTTGTCCAGCGTAGGGGATAGGCCTGAAAATCTGGCTACCTAACGGGAAAGAACCCAATCTGTTCATGAGATAAGCTACTATACATGATATTCTGTATTACTTGATTGAAAAGATCGTTTCAAAATTGTGGTAGAAAGTGGTTCTGCGCAAAATAACGAAGCAACTGAGAGAGGGGAATGCATTGAAGTCAATGCGCACTGTCGTTGATCCAAACGATAAGATACGATTTGACCCTATACGGGAGAAGTTTGAGAAATCTCATGATGACCATCTTCCTTGCACAAGTCGTTCAGCGCCTATTTGTTGAGTTATTTTTAGTGTTTCATCTAGGTTCTGGTATCTCATATTTTTTTCCTTAAGTAAATGTAAGAATTCTCCGAGCGAACTTTGGACTGATGTAAGTGAGTCGGCTTCATTTAGGGAATTCAAGCCGGATAGTTTTCTGTGATAAGGGACCAGATGAGTGTTCGGCCTTATTTGCTGTATATAGATTTTTCATAGGGGTGTTGGTAATCATTCGAAAACTTAAATCTGGGGCTGAAGCCATACGTAGCTGGTTTCTCAAGACATTTTTCTATAACGCTGTAAAATCCAATATAAAATTATGTTTTACATCGGCCACGCGTCTTCGTTTTTATCGAGCGTATAATTCGTAGTAGCGCTAAAAGCATATGAGAAGACGGGTCAATCGTTCTATATGAGTTTCCTTAAAAGCAGAGAAAAAAAATTCCCAGTTGAACAAGTTGCATTTCACACGTCCAACACTTTAAGCTATCGATCGATCGCCCAGCCCTCAAAGCGCAGATTAGCCGAAAAGAAGCTTTCCGAATATGTGGAACGTGACCTCACTTTCCCAGCTACACTGCAGTGAAACGGTCTTTCCAGAAAATAAGCACAGCGTCGGAGTCCTTGAATCTTACGCTATCGATTGATTACTAATAGTCTAAAAAAAGCGCTATGCGGCGAGGTGTAAAATGCAAATGTTTTCTTTCTCCTACAGCGCTATCAGAAGAGTTTCCAAGAGGCAAACATTGTTTTAAGTTTGTCGAGATTTGTGCTATCGAGAGAGTACTAGCACTCTAGTGAAGGAATTTTGTCAAGCGAAATATAAGTGAGATAAGAAAATAAACCCGTGATCGTACGAAACATAAGTTTATTTTGGATTTTACAGCGCTACAAAAGGGTGTTTCAAAAAACCGGCTACGAAGGGCTGTAGTCAGAGATTCAAGTTTTCGAATGATCACTAACACTCCTTTGAGAAGTTCTTGTACAGCTAATAACGTCGAATATTCATTTGACCCCTTGTAACACGAAAAGAGTCCAAACCGTCATCTTCGTTGTCAGATGGCCGTTCCCATTCCCCATTTCCATGGGTACTCTGGTTCTTGTCGGTTATCTGAAAAGAAATGCAGAAAGGACTTTTTCCGCTGGACAAAGATTTTCCATAGCACTTTTAGTAATCATTCGAAAACTTACGTCTCTGGCTACTGATCTACGTGGCCGGTTTATGAGAGAGCCTTTTTATACTGCTGTAGCAGAAAGAGAACGTTTGTGTTTCACACACGCATATTGCGGGACAGAACTCCTTCCTCAAATCAAAAGCAACCAACCATTCAACAGCGTAAGTTTCGGCTATTCCAACGATGTGCTTATTATCTGGAAAGACCGTCTCTCTGCAGTGCAGCAGGGAAAATAAGACCCAATCGCACATGAGCTGTCGGTCCTAACTTGTTACGTCCAGAATATTTATGTTCGGCAAAGTTTTTCACGATCTGCTTGACATTTTCTTGTTGAAGTCGATGTTGAACGATTTGCTGATTTTTATTTTGCGTCGGTGGTGCAACGCTTAGTATACGCTCCCGGGAAGAGTGTGATTTGGGTTCGAATCCCGGTTGACGCAAATGTTTTTGCACAGCACTCCACATCATCGGGTATATTACAAGATCATACCACCGCAATTCTGATTGATTATCGATTTGCTAATCAGTCGTATAGAGTGTTTTCCTGCGATTTTCTTTGGCTTCTACAGTTTTCTCAGTTGTTACCTCTTTCAATGACGATAAGTTTAGAGTAAACGGTTTCTCAAAGTGGTACAATAGATTCGTTCTGATCAGAAGGAAACAAGTGAAAAACCGATCTCATTTGCTGGAGAGGAACTTTTCATAGGAGTGCTAGTAATCATTCGAAAGCTGAGACTCGTAGCTAACGCGCCACTCCGATGGTTTTTTAAAACACTCTTCTGTAACCTTGTAGCATCCAGATCAAAAATTATGTTTCTTACTCGACTTTTGCCTTCATTTTTATCGCGAGTGCAATTCGCTAGAAGCCGAATAAAGCATACTGATTGCAGAGAAATTTTCGTGGTATCCTAGGAAGTCGTTTTATGTGGAGTTTCTTTCGAAGCGCAGGAAAAATTTTCAATTGAATAACAAAATATTGCTCGTTACTCCTCGCCCCGCCCCTGCCACTCCCCTTTCCACGGCCTTGGCCTTGTCGAATAGACTAAATCACGTCACCAGAAAGGTAAAACCCGATCTTGTTTTCCCTGCTGAATCTTTTTTTAAAAAAAGAAACACATCTCTACAATCAAAAAACATTACGCTATCTGATGTTTTCTAATATTCTGAAGAAAGAGCTCTGTCCGGCGAGATTTAAAGCACAAATCAAAAGTCCAGAGGAGATCAGAAGATTAAGAGAGGTTTTTTGAAAAGCAAACATATTTTTGAGTTCTTTGAAGCTTATGCTATAGTTAGAGTACTAGCGCTCTGAGAAAGGAGTTTTATCCAACGGAATATAAGCGATTCAAGGAAAAAAAACACATGATTTTATTTTGAATGTTACAATGTTATAAAAAGATATTTTGGAAAAGCGAAGACGTAAGATTGTAGCCAGAAGTCTCAGCTTTCGAACGGCTGCTAACACTTCTATGAAAAGTTCTTCTCCAACGAATGAGATCGATTTTTCAATTGTTCCCTTTTGATCAGGAAGAACCGTGAAGTAATCAACTCTCAACGCTTAGTGAAGTACATGTATACATTGTATGCCATACGTGGGCATGAGACAACGTGGCCTACCGACTACATGAAGAACTGCCATTCTAAGTGATGTGAAGTGATGTGCAAAACTTCCGCGTCAGGCGAGACCGAACTCGCATCTCACCTTATCTGAGGGACGCATGCCCTAAGCCTTTGCACTACTGACGCCCGTTTTTGCCAACCAATTGCTGTGCTTTAAGCGCTTTCATAGCAGTGTCATGATGATATAACTATACAGCCAGTGATGTTGAATTATATGCAAAAGTTTAGACCTCGATAGGGATTTGAACCCGCGTCTCGCCTTTTCCGGATGCGGATGCTAAACACTGAGCTACCCTGACTTCTGTGCTGCTATCACCGCACTTCCTGTGTTCTGCACATCGCTCAACATTCTTGGGCTTTCTGCACGTGCGATCCATTTCTGTCTCAGTGGTTTATTTTGCTATAGAGAGCTTTTTTCACCACATAGCACTCATTCTACAGCTTAGTCGACAAAGTCAATTGTATCAAGCATGGCTTATGAGGAGTTACTCTGTTTTACATCTCATTTAAGAAGGAAATTCTTATAGTACTCGGAATCAATAGTATTTTAATGCATTTCACATTGTTATGATGTTTTCTATGAACCTAAGAGAATTGAGTGGTGAGCAAAAACGCGGCCCCAGGCGGGAATCTAACCCGCGTTTCATCCTATCCGAAGACGCGTGCTCTATCACAACACCACCGAGGTACATTTGCCCGACTATCAAGGAAATTTTTAATTTGACGAACTTGTTGGCCGATGGTTTTACTGATAATTGAGAGTTATTCAATTTTATTTGCTACAATTGATTGTATTGATCGTGTTGGTAAAGGAAATGTCATTGTGGTTTTTTCACTTTGGTAGCACAGATTTCTAAGCTCATCCATTATGCTGGATAAGAACTCTTTATAAAAGGTGTTAGTGATCACTCAAAAGCTCAAATCTGTGGCTAACACAGTACTTGCTCATTTGCTGAAAATATCCATTTATAACGCCTCAGCGAAATGCTGACATTTGTCTTTCACATGCGCATATTTCTCACTGTATAGAGATCTTTCTTCAGACTATCATCAATCATTCGATAGCGTGAGATTTTGCGACTCCAACGCTGTTCTTATTTTCTGGAAAGACCGTTTCTCTGCAGTGTAGCAGGGGGAATCAGACTGAGTTTCACATAAACTGCTAATGTGTTCTTTGGTCAATTCACGGGCATCGGAATGGGAGGCGGGGCGGGGTGGGTTAGGGGTTGCCGCGATTATTGGATCGATGGCGCCCATGTGGCGTGCGATCTTTGTTATCTGACTTGGAATGTCCGCTTTGGGGAAAATTGCAGATTAAAAGTTCGAAAAGTCTGACTATGATACTAAAGATCTACTCTACAATCCATGTGCTTTTCGTGCTTCCAGCGAAGTAATGGTTGAATTGCGCGGCCGATGTGAAACATAATTTTATTTCGAAATTCACAACGTTATGATAGAGTGTTTTCAAAAAGCAGCCGCGCACCGCGCTAGCCATAGATTTAAGCTTTCGAATGGTTCATAGCACGCTTTACGAAAAGTTCTTGTCCAGCGAAAGGCATAGGCTTAGAATTTTGTGCTCCACCAAACGGAAAAGTTCTAAAATCTTTTCATTATTATTTGAGCCAACATGTCATGTGGTCTGGTAAGGGCTCTTGTACAGCCGGAGACACGTGTTTCGTCCTTACAGACTCGTTAGTCGGGCAGAACCCGTCGTCTTTCGATCTTTTCATAGCCAGTTCTCTCGAGAGCCTCACACTCATTATAGAGAATCATCGAAGACGTACGCTTGACACTCCATGTCAAGTGAAACCTTCACCTAACATGCTCTTTGGCTGGTATTTTTTCATGCCACAACCTTTTCTTTTTTTCTTTTTCCCTTTTTTTCTCACCTTTTCTTTTTTCCTTTCTTCCTTTCTCTTTGTTTCCTCAGAGTGCTGAATGAAAGCTCCAAAGAATCCTAATGATCAAGCGAATGTTTCGTTTGACATAGAGTGTAAAACATTCGTCTTTGATAACTCTCTGTAAAGGAGAAGAGCTCCCGAGAGAACTGACTATAAAAAGGTCGACAGACGACGGGTTCTGCCCGGCTGATGAGTCTGTAAGGACGAAACACGTGTCTCGGGCTGTACAAGAGCCTTTACCAGACCACATGACATGTTGGCTCAAATAATAATGAAAGGATTTATTGAAATTTGAGCGTGGTCTTAATAAAGCACTCCAAATAAAGGTACTAAAATCTTTATTTGAGAACTTGTTAATCTTTGGTTTTACAGCTATTCATTTTCATTTGCTATAATTAAGCGAATTGATCGTGTTCGTATAGAAAAAGTACGTCTTGTACTTAGCATAACATGTAACACACTTTCAATTTGTGACAGATTTCCTTTATATAATGGATTAGAGTATTCTATAGAAGGTATTCATAGATATACATGAAGTTAAAGGAATCATTTGCAACCAAAAGCGTATAAATTTTTTGTTGGAGAGTTCAAGGGCTGATTAGGAACGGCCAGCGATCATGAGTACAGGATGGGAAAATCCGGATTAAGAATGAACTAAGACGAAAGAGGCACCAGTGAAGCGCTAGATTAGGGTCTTCGGGACAATTCCTTCATTTTCTCAACCTTCCAAGCCCTCTACTTATCCGAAAATCTTAGTGTGTTTTCCAGAAAGCAGCAAGTCTGTTCGTTGTGACCGACATGAAGAGTTACACATCTTCTGCTGCCGCCCACGCAAATCATGGCGCCGTGTGTTCGGTGTTAAGATCGTTGAGAAGATCTGTCCTTCCTGCTGCAATTTCGATGTCGGCATTTATATAGATTCACGAATGTTGAAGCATAATTTTCGCCTAGTAGACATACGTTTACGATGTGGTTGATTTCCCGTGTATTTTATTTATTCGCATTTATCTTTACGACCCCATAACTGTTTCTTCTACGGATCTCAGCTGAGGATTTCTGATTCTGTTCGGTTATGAGGAGACAAATGAAAAACCGATCTCATTCGCTGGAGAGGTTTTTTTCATAGGAGTGTTAGTAACCAATTGAAAGCTGAGACTTCACGCTACAGCCCCACGTCGCCGGTTTTTGGAAAAGCCTTCATTTGACGTTGATACAGAAGAAAAATTTCTCGCGTTGCGGACGCGCATAGCTCATCGGGCAGAACTTTTTTTTGGACCATCAGTTATCAGAAACGTCCGCGTCTGAGACATAGTTTTGTGTGGATTTCGCAGCGTTATAAAAGGGCGTTTTGAATCATCGGCGACGTGGGGTGTAGCTAGAAATCTAAGCTTTCGAATAATGACTAAAGATCCTATGAAAGATCCTATCCAACGAATGAGGTCGGTTTTTCATCTGTTCCCTCAGAACCGAATAGAGCCGCCACACCTCGTTATGGATGCTGTAGAAAAATGATGGAGACGATCCACTTGATTTTTCGAAGTATCAGAGCTAAGGAGTTCCTTGGCGTTCAGTTGATTGATTGCAGGAGAGAACTGAGTGGTGAACAAGAATTAATATAAGTGGTGTATAAGGGATAACCCCGGTGGTGTATCGGTAGCACGCGCCCCTGGCATAGGTGAAACACGGGTTCAACTCCCGGCTAAGGTCGACTTTTGGTCACCATTCATTATCTCAGGTGTTTTGTAATATCATAACACTACGAAAAAGCAGTAATAAGCATAAGGAATCTGGATTTGCAGGAGAGTTGGGGGAGGGGGTCGAGCAAACGCTTTGCTTATCAACTCGTTTTTTGATGCGCCACATCACTAACCGTTGCGCTATCTCGTCCCTAGTTCAATCCTTTTTGTTAGAGTTTTCTTTTGATGAGAAGTAGTCATAGAGCTGCGAGTAACATTAATGACTCGAGTGCTATTAACCCTATCAATAGAAAGGATAAAGCTCTCAGCGCTGTTTGATCCTGTAGGGATGCCCCATACCATTTCAACTCTATTAAGCATCGTCCGAGGTGACTGAATACATATTTGGCTTTTACAATAACTCGTTTTGACCTGCCGATGTGTCAGGTCGGCGTTGCTAACCTCCCAGACAAGTCTGGTACGAATCCATCGACCTCGGAGGGATGGAAGATTTGTCGAGTCTAGGGTGCGGGATCGAACCAACGGCCACGTGTGTGTCTCAGAACACCTCTAGCCCCTGCGCCCACGCTCACAATCTATTTCGTTTTTGTTCTTATCCACACCAAAATCGCTATAATCTGGTCGTTCATATGTATTCAGTGGCCTTTTTGTTACTATATATTGCAAAATTTATCGTTTTAGATCATGAGTCCGTCTGCTGCGGATGTGAATAAGTTGAAAGATGAATTTCTTCAAGCAGCTTGCGATCTCTTTGAGAATATTCTAGCGAAGCCACCAACACATAACATTGTCGATTTATGGAAAGAACATCAACAGATCAGAAAAACACTGGAGGAAATCTCCGCTAAACAGGCTCAACTGGGTGACACTGACCGGCGACTCTTGAAACCGCGGTTAGTTTCCCATCTATTTCTGAAAGTTAAGCGTTTATGTACAGATTTCTCTTCGTGGCTACTTCGTTTGCTAGTGTCTTCTTCAGTAATTAGGATCCCTAATGAGTGAATTCGGGCGCCTGTGGCCGAGTGGCTAGCCCCTTCGGGATGGGGACCCACCTCCTCTGCATCGTTAACTTCAGCGTGGCAACGCTGGCCGCTCTGCTCCACCTCCTCTGCATCTTTAACCTCCAGCGTAGGGGCGCATTGAATGTATGATTGTATTATTTCAATGATATCATTGTTGTTATTTCCTTATGTTATGTCATACGTAAATATATTATGTTGTTATAGGTAGGAAAATAGCAATAACAATACATTTGGAATAATGAAATAGTACATTCTAAGGGTAGCTATATTTAGCTAGGTCTACCTAGGTCGTGAAATCAACATGATGAACTACCTAGCCCCAGAGTTGAGCAGGAGGAAACGAGCAGCTTGGGGAACGTTTGAGAGCATCGAAGATGTAGTGAAGAGGACAAAGAACATGCGACTCCGTGCCCACCTTTTCGACTCGACAATTATCCCTGACCTAACGTATGCAGCAGAAACCTGGTCGCTACGTAAGCAGGATGAAAGATCACTCGTCGTTATCGAACGCGCAGTCGAAAGGTCGATGCTAGGAGTATACCGTATCTCGCAAATGAGACAAAGGATCCGAAGTTCCGACCTACGTCAACGATCGAAAATTAGAGACGCCGTTCTCCACGCCAGGATATCGAAAATAAGGTGGGCCGGACACGTGATGCGCTTCAACGACAACCGATGGACGAGAGCCGTTACCGACTGGATTTCTCGGGACGTCAAGCGCTCTGAAGGAAGACCACTGACCCGTTGGTCCGATTTCTTCACGAAAGCGATGGAAGAAAGATATGATGCTCAGCGAATCCCTAGAGCGAGGACGACCCACTGGGCTACTCTTGCACGCGATAGGGAAAAATGGAAGAGTTGCTGGTACCCGCTCGAGTCACTCGACGATCAACGGGACGACAGGTGATACAGGTGATGGGTTGCTACACTGGAGGCTGGTAATGAAGGGGAGGTAGGTCCTCGGTTTCGAAAAGGCCAATGATGCTAGGCGCGGTACCACGCGGGTGTTCATCCCACCTGAAACTGTCCGGCAATCAATAACGAACGCCTTATGCAACGCCTCGGCCTGGCTGTCCTCGTGATTGCAAGGAGACGTGCTTAACCAGTATTCTACGATGTTCGTGAAGAGGATGAAATCTTCAAGCAAGGGAGGAGGCGCAACGAATGTTAGAATTACTGGGACCAGCACAATGAGAAGAAATGATACGAGTTAAATAAAATGATCAAAGTAAGTACTGTTCAGATACGTGACTGATGTTGAGCTTGGAGGAATGTAAGCTTTCTCCTGTGTGTCTTGTCTTTCATTTAATAAGTTAAGATCACCGGAGGATCTCGCTTGCTTTTTGAAATGGGCAGACAGCGTCGGCATCAAGCGCTATGGTGTCACCGTATCTGAATGCCACGAAGTGAGCGGATTGGGATTGCTGGCTGAAGAGTAAGTCAACAGATATTGTAATAGATTTTTTTTGATAGACGGCGGAAAATGAAGAAACAATCCTTTTCGCTGGACAAAGACTTTCCATTGCATTTCTAGTGATAACTCGAAAGCTCAAACCTCTGGTTACTGCGCTACGTGGCCATTGTCCTGAAAAAGTCCTTTCATAGCGCTGTAGCAAAAAAAAAAACGCGTTTCACATACGCATAATTCTCACAGGGTGGAACTCCTTCCTCAGCTTATAAGTGACCATTCGATAGCTTAAGTCTCGATGGCTCCATTGCTGTACTTATTTTCTCGAAATATCATTCAGTTGCAGTGCAGAACAGAAAATAAGATTGAGTTTTACATATGCAGGCATTGTTTTTCTGCTAGTGTGGACTGGGCGTAGGCAGGAGGAGATGTGTTGGTTGTGGGTTCCATACGGCGATTGACTTATTGCGTTGACATGTCACATGTGTGGACTGAAATTTTTGTTATGCAAATCGAGATTTTCCTCCGTTTTGAGAAAAACTCTAGGCCAAACTTATGATTCCGACCTTAACTACACGATTTCCTCTGCATATTCGTATGCTATTCGTGCTTCTAGCGAAGTAATATTGAAGACGCGCGGCCGGAGTAAAACATAACTTTATTTTGAATGCAGCACCGATATGAAAAGGCTCTTTCACAAATCGGCCACGTAGCGCAGTAGGCAGAGATTTGAGCTTTTGAATGGTTATTAACACTTCTATGAAAAGTTCTTGTCCAGCGAAGGATGTCGTCTCTTCATTTGTCGCCATCTAATAGAAAAGAACCGTGCAATACTTTGAAGTGCTTGACATTTTTCCATTGCTACTCTTCAATTTTCCTCTGTGATTTTCCTTGTTTTTCAGAAATATTTCTGAAAAACACTGCTGCTTGACGGTTCCTCGTCATGCTATCATTTCCACTGATCTTGCCAAGAAGTCATCGTTAAAGTACGTGCAGGGTGAACCAAGTTTTTCTCTAACTTTTAGCTCTCTTATATTACTTTTATTATGTAACGATTGTATATTCAGGGATGCTGAGTGGTATGCCAAGTTTTCGACGCCAGGCGGGACTTGAACTCGCGTTTCATCTATGTCAGAGAAGTATGTTACCACTGCACTACCTCGGCCATGCTACTGCGTTCTCTACTGTTCTCTTTTCAATAGTTGGGTTTAACGCCGATAAGTGTTTGCCAAACCAAACACTACTTAACGCGCGGTTGATAACAGCTACATGCCTTATATCGAAGAAAGAGTGGTAGCAGTGCGGTGGGTTTGCTGGTGTGGTGGTAGCATGTTCCACGCGATATGGTTGAAACGTGGGTTAAACTCCCGCCTGAGATGGAAAGTTTTGCATACCATTCAGGATCTTTGAATAAGAATGCCGACTATCTACGAGAATTAGCTCTAAACTGTTATCATTAATACGACTACTGTGATGTACTGAAGTGGTGGTGGACATCTACTTCAATTGCCTGAAATTTCCTGCGATGCATCGTTCGGTCATTCGTTCGATTCCGTATCGTTCAGTAACTGCCCGTCGTCGATTCTGGGTTGACAGGTTTATACGGCATTTTCTGAGGGCTAAATCACTGATTCGACATCGCCATGGTTTCTCAAATCATTTAGAGGATGGACATATCTTGGCGCTGATCAATTCCTGAGGGATGCGCCATGCTTTCGACTCCATCAGGCATTGTCAGGAGTGATCGAATGCATATCTCTGGTTTTTAGATTGACTCACGGCGTCCTACTGATGTAGCAAAGCAGTGCTGCTATCCTCCCAAACAAGTCTGATATGAATTCACCGACTTTGGAAGGCTGAAACGGTCGGTGAGCCTTTGGTGCGGAATCGAACCATCGACAACGTATGTGTCGAAGGTGCACCTCTAATCACCTTGCTATACGCTCACAATGCCTGCAAATCGTTGTTTGGGCAAATATCATTCAGTCTTCCCTGCAATGCTGCATGAAGTCTAATCCATGGTTGTTCGTTAAGGGATCAAAGCCGATGGCTTTACCTTTCGCCAAAATATTAGCTCGTTCAATAAATTTTGGTTTTGGAGCAACAAACACCAAGTTTATTACTCAGAAATGATAAAAATTGCACAACTTTGGTATAGTCAAACTGCACATTTTCTTACAAACATTTTGCTATACAACTTACCTTTACTTGCTTTGAGATGAATATGTCGTGAGAACAAGTTCGCTTACTACTCATGCACAAATGGCGCGTGGGGGAAAATGCTAGCGAAGCGGCGCACAAGATTAGTGGAGCATGGGGCGATGATACGATTGCAGAAAGGATGGCTAGGAAGTTGTTCAGGAAGTCCAAAGCTGTAGAGAAGTCTGGAGGACGAGTGGCGCTGAAGCTGTCCGCAGGAAACTCCATTAATCTTGCGCGCCGCTTCACTAACATTTTCCCCTACTCAGCATTCGTGCATGAGAAGCTAGCGAATTTGTTCCCACGACAGTTCCATCTTAGAGCAAGTATAGGCAAGTTGTATGCCAAAACGTCTTCAAGAAGATGCGCAATTGAACGATA